GGTCTCTGGGAACACAGGATTGGTTCTAAGGCTAAATGTACTCTGTTCTGCTGGGTTTGGGGCCTGCTTAGTGTTGACAGTGTCAGTTCCTTCTCTCCCTCCCATTTCTCCCGTTGGTAATGGAAAGGCCAACTTTGTAGTCTTCCACACTGTCCTTTGGAAACTGGTAACAGGATCCTGTTACTTCACAGGTTCACAGACAAGAGGAATTGTGCTCTAGGATGGAGCACGCCTCCAGTCCCACCCACAAAATGACTCAGAGAATGAGTGTGAACTGGGAGTTGATTGGGGGATGATGTGATGGCATGAATATGATGTGCGTGGGGGGAGGGGGGGATATGGGCGATGGATAGAATGTTAGGGATCGAACTGGGTCCCCCCAACGTGTGACAAATCCTAGCCTCTATGCCTGCGGTGCCAGGAGCCCTGGTGGCACAGTGGGTACGTGTTGAGCTGCTGCGCTCTGGGCTCAGCAGGAGAAAGACGAGCTGTCTGCTCCTGTAAGGGTGCTGGGTCCAGGAAGGCACAGGGCAGGTCCAGCCTGGGAGTGGACTCCGGGAGGGCAGGGTCGGGTTTGGTCCCCAGGCTCACGGGGCGGCGGGGTGTCTCGAGCCTCTTTGGGTGACGGAAAGGAGAGTGAGGGAGAACTGACTGGGATACGCTACATACAACCGACTTTAAAAGCGATTTACCCGTGGAAGTGTATGATACGTGAACGCGGTATCAAGAAAACCACTGAAAAAGAACCCAACCTGGACCAACGGTCACCATGGACGCAGGAGAGAGTGGTTGCACAGGGGCACTGAGTTTACATTTACGGGGATGGAATTAACTTGGAAAAGGGTGTCAACTGCTGTTGCAATACACAGCGTATAATCAGTGGCACTACATTATATAGACAGAAGTGGGGAATTGAAGAATGTTTTGTTCTGTATACTTCTACCCCAATTGGAAAACAGTTTTAATATAATTACAAGAATAACAATGAGCATAAGGAAAAAGAAAATGAAAAAAAGAAAAAGAAAAAAAAAGAAAATGATCTAGAATGGAAAGACAGTGATAGTTGTACAACTCTCCTTGATATGGCTGAATTACTGAATTGCACGGCATGTGGACAATGCTAATGCGGCTGTCAATAAACAAGTAAATGACAAACGGAGGTGATGGGCCCAGCCAGGGAAGAGCGGTGGGAAGATCCCCAAAGAACTGGGGCGGAGCTGGCGAGCAAGGCTCCGCTGTAGAACCAACCGTGAGAGGGCTGCACCAGTGGGGGGTGCAGGACCGTGCAGTTTCCTTCCACTGGTCACAGGGTCCCGGTGGGTGGGTGGCACCAACTTGATGCACCTAACACCCCTGACAGTGAGCGAAAGCCTTCCCCCAGCCAGCAGCTGAGTCGGACTCCCAGTTTCCGAAACTGCGAGAGAATGCCCGTGTGTCCTACAGCCATCCACCTGTCTTTCTGTTCTGGAGTGCGCCGGACTGAGCTAGCCTGGACTTCAGGAAGGATGACAGCCCGACAGATCGATGAAGGACCAGCCTGCAGCTCTGTTCCCAGTCAGTCCCTTCCTGAAGGTTTCTCTCTTCTGAACATCTTGGTATTGGCTGCATCAACTCTCCTGGCAGGGAACAATAGCATCTGATCCAAGAAGGTAGGGTAGATGAGTAAAATCAGATCAAAGAATGTATTCTTCAAACACTGCAGAGAGGTCTGAGGGGCCAGACCCAATCCCAGCTAAGTGGACACCTGCCCCTCCCCCCAGAAGAATTTACTTCAGAGGACAGCACTGAAGCTGCAGCTCAGGGAGAGGGACACATCTGATCAGAACACACGGGAGCAAATAAAGGGGGAAGAAGAGAGAGTGGAGTACATCCTGGCCACCAAGCCTTGACAACAATATTCCTGCTCAGAGCAGCCAATCCAGAGAAGACCATATGGTCGGCCCCACTATGAGACACGACATCCGTCACTGACCCACAGGGGACAACACAAGAGACACAGTGTGGGAATTGTGCCCGATCTGATCCTACCACCCCGAAGCAAAACACTAAGGGCATGCAACAGAACAGCAAGGGGAACAGAGCAACCAAGTCCCCAGGGAATACCAAAATAGGCTTTGGGGCCAGGGCTTGGCACCCCATCAGACTCGACCGGAAAACACTCCTAAAGGCCAACAAACAGTCCTTGATCTAACTACAAGTTTTTCGTTTTTGCTTGTTGTGTTGTGGTTTTTTGTTTGTTTTTTGTCATTGGCTTTTTGTTGTTTTGTTTTATTTTGTTGCTTAGTTTTGCTCTGTCTTGTTTTTGTGCATGTTATTATCTCCGCAGGTCTGTGTAAATAAGATAGGCTGGATGAACAATCTGGAGAAGAAAACAACGGGACT